CAAATTGTAGAAAAGAAATTAAAACCAACAATAGAATTAGAAGATGCAAAACCCATAATAAGACTATTAAAAAAAAATAGAGCAATAAAGGAAGAAGAATTTGATATGAATAAGGCACAAGAAATAGATTTTAACAAATATAATTATTATAAATCAGAAATAATAGAATTACCGGTATTATATACATATGATAGATTAAAAAAAATGGATGAGTTAAGTGATAAGAAAAAAAAAGATCTAATAGAAAAATTTGAAGAACATATAACAAAATCTGTTCTGGGTAGGATAAAGGATCGAGCATTAGGATGTTTAACAAATGTTTTGTCGGATAAACTATCTGGATATATGCTTGATAAAGTAAAAAGTGTATGGGGGAACTTTAAAGGACAGGCCCAAAAATTAAATAATAAGCAAAGTATAATTTCAATGGAGGAAATAAAAGATTCTCAAACAGAAATAACCAAAAAATTAAAATTAGAAATAACAAGAAGAATAAAAGATAATTTTAAAAAAAAATAGATAGTTCAGGCGTTTTAATTTGACAAAATAATAGAAGGATAAAGATTAGAGAGATAAAGAGCTGGTATCAAATAATTTTCTCTACGGCGAAAAAGAAAATATAGTGATAAGCATTAAATCGGATTTTTTTAATTTAGAATTAACATATTTTTTAGCCTTCGATGATATTGCATTTGGCAAAGTATAATTTTTTATTATCATTGTCATATAACCAGTATGTGGTATAATTAGTGTGGTTATCGAAATTAATTAAAAAAATAGAGAAAAGGACATTTCGGTAAATATATATATATATATATAGTTAAAGTTTTGTTATCAATAAATAATATCAAAATCAGAATCAAATCTGTGTTTATACAGTAAATAAGGGAATAATAAAAAATAAAAAATTATTAAAAAAAAGAATTAGAATAAAATGCCTAATAAATTGCCAAAATAAGAAGTATATAGTAAATTAGTACAGTACAGTACGGTAGTATAAGTTGGTATGTACGGTTATTTAATAAAAAGTATACTTAGACGTTGACAGTTCGAATCGGCGAGTCTGTCGCTAGAACGGGATTAGTTTCGTGTAACCAAAGTTTAGGTTACTTGAGTCGAAAAAGACGTGTTAGATTTGGCGAGTGATTAATAAACGAATGTAGTTTATAATATGTGACTTAGATACTTTATTATTAGGTAAAGCGTGAACTAATTTTCCCAAGGACCAGAAGGCCTTTATTTATAATAAATGTTTCATTTACATTAATCATCTAGATCCCCAATATCCCATATTACCGAAATCATCCAGATTCCCCAGTTCTGACTTCTGGGGTTTCTGGTCGGGAAACCTTAGTTTGGAAAACCTGAGGTCACGGATTCACGTGCATGCCATCAGGTCACGTTTCCGAATAAGAATTAATATATATATAAAATATATATGTAATCATATGGGCTGCCGTCAATAGAAATAAGGCAGATTGACATTTTAAAAAAAAATTAATACCTTAACCTTCACAGTTCGTATCTCAATGAATTTTGAAGCTATCTCGATGATTTAATATTCAGAAAAAAGCTTAGATCGTAAGCTTCCTTTCGACTATTAAATAATCAAGATAGGCTTAAAATTCATCGAGATACGAGCTGTGAAAG